AGCGAGCGTTAGGCCGCAGTGCCATGAACACAGTGAACCAGTATATACCATGAATTCGAGGTGGTTAAAGGTGGGAAGTAGACACGAAGCGCAAGCCGTAAGAAAGTGTGCGTGTGCCTCCTCTAGTTCAGTCCTTGAAAAGTCCGCTAGATAGCGGTGCTTCTATATGAGGAATATATGATGAAAAGATGCGAGATAGTGGTAGTAGGAGTGTTGAATAGGTAGACGAACGGACACACAGACAGATGCATGGACGGACGCACGGATGGCTACACGGACGGATAGATGCATGGGCGGACGCAGGAGCGGATGCATGGACGAACGCAGGAACGGACGCACTCATGGACGGGTGAATGGACGCATGGGTGGCCACACAGACGCACGGATGGGCGGACGGAAGCAAGAACGAATGAACGGAAAGATGCTTCGCCCCACTCTCCGTCATTCACTCCGTGGATATGCTGCCATTTTTCTTAACACACACACACGTACAGACCGACAGGCAGACCAAAGTTTTGGCGTCGAAGGTCGCCAGGAAAGACTCTCGTCTTTAAGAAATCGCATGTTCAGCCGTTCAGACTAAACAAAAAGCAACAGGGAACTCCGGAACATTACTGATTTCAGGAAAAAAAGCTACGTACTCCTCCCTTTCACGCGAGTTGAGTGAAGTGATTGCTGCAGCTTCATCTAGAACCAGCCATTGACAGAAAACCGATTTTCTGAAGGAAGGCTCTCATTGCAAATGCGATGAGCAAAACACCCAACAAACAAACCAGCCATCTCGGCGAGACACGCGGACTGAGCGAAGCTGCTTCTCGCCCTCGCGTTGCCTGCTTAATTTTCACATTATCATTCTGCCTGCAATCATCGAAAAGAAAACGCGTTCATACTAAGGGAAAAAAAAGAAAGACGTGGCACGACGTCTTCATAAAGCTTTCAGGACGTGCTCATCAGGGGAGCCGCCGAGCGGTGAACTAATGCGTTGACGCGTGGCATCCTCGCTTCTCTCAGGGGGAAAAGCAAGGAGAGTGAAGTGCACAACCAATGTGTCCTCGCATCCGCTAAGTGCACTCGTCGCCTAAAGGACGCTGAATTAGATGAAAGCAAAAAAAAAGAAGCAATTGTTCAACCAGTTCACAGCAGAAACGCTTAATACAGTGAAGGCAACGCATTTTTTTTCACCCATGTGAATATTTCTTTTGCATTTGAAAACTTCGGGAACGTTTGTTTTCCAACGGGTTAGTTAAAACGTTAGAGAATGATTGGCAGATTTTTTTTAAGTTATAAATCGTAAAAAACAGAGGCAATGCCTTATTGGGGTGCCTTAACTTTCTTGTTGGTGGCAGGCAGCCATAGATTGATAAAGTGGGATGTGAAGTACAGTGCCAAAAGTGTTCGTTTGTCCCTGTGTGGTGTAATGTCATTGTCTGGATTACGCTTCTAGGAGAGCCTTTTCAGTAACGATTATGACAGTGCATGCCCGCTTTGGAAGTGTGGCTAAAGGATGGAACTGCCTCTCGCACTATCACAGAACAAATATAGAAAAAAGGACAGTCAAAAGCATAGGCCGTCAAAAATTGCGGAGTTCTCTGAGACTCATCCAAGAAAATACATTTTGCGCTTAGGACTCACCCAGGCTCAGAACCGCCACAATTTTTTTCAGCAGCACTCACTCAATTTCAGGCACACTGAGTTCTCGACAGGGTTCGTTCGGACTCAATTACACCTAATTATAATCACTCATGCTCAGTCAGACACAGACTCACGTCTTAATGTGAGTTCAAGTGAGTCTGTGGGAGTCGATCGACCCATCAGTTATTTTACCTTCCTAAGGTTGCAAGACAACAATGTAAAAAGACTACAGAAAAAAAGCATAATTTCCATGACGCTTCAGTACGTCTAGTATTCAATCCATCAGCGCCCCGTGTTTGCAACACTAATGCAAAGCTGCAAATCAATTTGAAGCGTGAATTTGGGCGCCAATATATTTTCAACCAAATATTATGAAAGTTATCACTTAAGGAGCCACAACTTCTAGAAACAGGGTGCCTATACAAGTAGTTGAGAGTTTTGGTGTCACACGATTCTTCTCTGACTGCACATTTCGACTATATAGTTTGTGAATCCGCAAAAACTTTAAATAATAATAAAATAAATTTGTAATGTGTGAATTCACGTGTATGAAGGGCGAACCAACTAGCCCGAATTTCTACTCTAGTCATCTCATAACAGTTTTCGCGCTGTAAAATTACGAGTTTATTGCAGTAGCCACAAGCAAAGAGGCGTGAAAACAACATGCGGGGACCGTAGTAGAATGTTTATTCCTTATATCTTTTTGGTAGTTCTTCAGAAATATCGATGTTGAAATTGGGCCGGAATTGGCTACACTATAATTGAAAATATTATAAGCTAAGCTATTCACTTGCACACACTGAATGCAGCAAAATCTTTCAGTTTATAACCTATTTCAAATTGTAAACCAACTCAACAGATGAAATGCCCGCTTTTTTAAAATGCGAAGCATTTCTTGGTGAACTCCAGCTACTTTGTGCGTAATCTATCTATCTATCTATCTATCTATCTATCTATCTGTCTATCTATCTATCTATCTATCTATCTATCTATCTATCTATCTATCTATCTATCTATCTATCTATCTATCTATCTATCTATCTATCTATCTATCTATCTATCTATCCATCCATCCATCCATCCATCCATCCATCCATCCATCCATCCATCCATCCATCCATCCATCCATCCATCCATCCATCCATCCATCCGTCTGTCTGTCTGTCTGTCTGTCTGTCTGTCTGTCTGTCTGTCTGTCTGTCTATCTATCTATCTATCTATCTATCTATCTATCTATCTATCTATCTATCTATCTATCTATCTATCTATCTATCTATCTATCTATCTATCTATCTATCTATCTATCTATCTATCTAGCCGCCTACGACGTTTAGCTCTCCTGGCCATTTCGATAATGGTATCGATACCAAACTTGGTATGACATAACAAGACAGATTAAAAGACACATTTGACTAGTGTTGGCATGAAAATCATAACATGGATGCTGACCCAGGACACTGCTGCCTAAATCAACTTCAGGGCATGGCAACTAACCACAATTGACGTTAACCCGATGTGACGGCAGTATCGAAGTGTTACATAAGTAATGATTATAAAATTTTGCATTCATTGACTCCACAAACAGTTATTTATAAAGAACATCGCTATTTTTTTCGTGGGGTGTTTACATATCATGTTTTTAATATCAAACTAGTTTGGAGAGCTGCGCAAATTTTATTCCACGTGCACCTCTTTCACCGAGACCTATTGTTTTTTTTTTCAGTGTTTCAGTTCAGAGAGAGCAACACGTGACTTTGTCCTTTTGCTGCTCTGTAGGTGGGTTCATTATATACAAGAAAATTTTGTCACATTTTCTGTCATTCTACACCCACACAAAAATTCACCCTTCAATGCGTGAGCACGTGGAAGTGACGCAAACGAAGTGGGGGACTCACATGCATTGCACGATTGGAAAATAATCTCAGCTTTACTGAATGCCAGCTGCTGTCAGTACGAAGGCGTTTCCGAAGCGACAGCCCTAGACGCTAATCCCGCACGATAAATCGCTCTTTACGTGAATTACGCTTATCCACGTGGTGGTGACGGCATAAACCGCCGAGTCTTTGGCGCCTTGGCGGTGACTAATACCTGAAGACCACGAAGTGGTAAAGCCTGTCTTATCACTCTTCCACGTTCAGAGATGTAAAGTAGTCGCACGTAGCGTATTGTAAGCCTTCTGAAGCAGGCACAGTCTACCTACGGCAAAAGTAAAAATCCACAGGAGAACAATGTGCTATGTTTACCACAGAGAATAGCTAACACGAGTACGGTCTGACATGATTACCTTAAGAACCTCCGAGCAGCGCTTGTGTTACGATCACCGCCGTTGCATTCGCTTCGATGTGAAAGATATTATTTACCTCATGACGCATAAACATGATATTTGCAGTTACCGATGCCTCTAACTGTGGCAAAGTAGAGGAATACATTTATTCTGTGTGTGCGTTTTTAGCCTACTTTATTCTCTTGAAAACAATCGCAGGCGTGCAAACATAGACGTGGGAGAAAAGTTCGGACAACACCACGGCCGTTCATTACCTTCCACGAACAAGGATGAATTGCCTGGTTGGGAAAATCAATCACAAGGTTTATTCTAAGCACCTATTCCACAAGTCATTTTTATTCAGAAGCAACGGGCAACCTAAACTTCAAGTGGATTTCCAGTTGAACTATCCTTACACAGCCACATGATCTCCTTGAATACCAAATATGTAATATGATTATAATTGCAAAGTGTAAAGATTATTGCAAATGCATAACTGATATATATTACAATTTCAACTATATCATTTCGGATAATAATATGCTCATGATTGTGAGAGTTAAATTCAATGAAAGTCGTATTAGCCCTTTATTGACGAACGTTGCCCACAGGCAACATAGCGGAAAATATTTTTTTTTGATCACTTTCTGTTTCGCGAGCTTCTTTTTCCCTCCAAAGTCTCCCCATGTTACTGCCACATGGATGTGTGGCACCCTCTGACTTGTAATTAAGAAACCGACGAAGAGAAAAAAGAAGTTTGGCGCGCAAATCTCTGCAGAGCGCTCTACGACGTGACTTCAGCGTTCGAACATCTATTTCCGGGTAAGCATTCGTTGTTCTCTCTCTGGCTTTTTGCAATGACTTAGAAAAATGCCCCACTTTCCTCGTTGTTAAATTATATAAACGGCGCTGCTAATTTGGGCCCGTACGGGCGCGTGAGGTGTTTGTTGCCTACAGGCAACTCGAGGCGCAATGCCGTGTTTCTCATCCCGCTAAGGTTGCGCTGTGTAATTTTGTCTGGTAGCGCGCTCCTCTGCCTGCACTGCTTCCATTATCGCTGCACCACCTCACGCAGGACACGCAGACAAAGCAACGATTTCGAAGAATGGACCCCGGTGCATTTTATGGAAAATTTGCTGCAAAAGTGCCCCTTGACTACAGTGATGACTCTGACCTGGATTCATCGAGCGACGAAGAGCCTGAAAACGCTGTTTTAGCCCGGACAAGTAAGTATTTAGTTTGTCGTGTCAGTCGGAACTACGCTATCATTCGATTGACGAATAAAGTACGGTCTCTTGCATAATAAAGCGCAGCGGGTTGAGGTGAAGGAAGGGGTTGCTTGTATTACAAAAGGTTGTGTGGCCCGGTGCTTTCACTTGAGGCTGTCGGCATCTCTCACAGCAGACGCTTCTAGGTGTTCCCAAGTTCAGCAGCTCTGCGTGGGACGCGGATAGTCTGGCATTCCGTTTACGCTTTGCAGCAGGCTGGCTCTGTGTATTTCAAACAGTGTCATTGTTTAGGCCAGCTAGCGAAAGAGTATTTCCGCAACTTTTTTCTTTAGCAGAAAATAGATTTTACTGAACACAGAGAGCACTGATGAAATTTACGAGAGTGATTACTATTTTCAATTTTGTTGGCTTTTTCTTGCACTTTGTTGACATCGCAATCATTTTCTGTGCAATCTTTACAGCACCGCCAGCTGACAGTGAGGATGAAGAGGTCTCAGGAGCTCCAAGCGCGGGCAGTATCGACAATGCGCTTGAAAAAATCCCCAAGCCTTCGAAGGATTCTCCCACATGGAAGGCTGTCCGAGGCTCCTCGAGTAATGCCATGCCTGAGTGGAAAGACGTACCACCCTACCCATCCCCGGTGGAGTCTCCCATCACCTATTTCAGAAACTTCTTTGACGTGACATTCCTGCCTCACATCTGTGAGCAGTCCTCCCTGTATAGCGCTCAGAGGAATCCCAACAAAGTTACTTCAATGACAGTCAATGATTTAGAGCAGTTCATCGGTACAGTGCTCACTATGTCGCTTATGAAGCTGCCCCAAACACGCATGTACTGGTCGCAGAGGTTCCGAGTCAGTCAAGTCGCCGACACCATGACGAGAGACAGGTGGGAAGAAATCAAGCAGTCACTGCATTTTAGTGACAACCAGGAAGCACCAGACCAGAATGACCCCGAACGTGACAGGCTTTACAAAGTGCGGCCCCTGTTGCACCACCTGGTCGCCAAATGCCACGAGATACCAAAATCTCAAAAGCTATGCGTTGATGAGCAACTGGTGCCGTTCAAAGGCCGCAGCTCATTGAAGCAGTATTTGCCCAACAAGCCCAAAAAATGTGGTTATAAGCTTTTCCTTCTCTGCGATGAACGCGGCATAATGTACAACTTTGAAGTTTACACGGGCAAAATTCTTCCTCAGCAAGGTTTTCCCGACATCGGCGCAAGTGGCAACATCGTCCTGCGAATGGCGAGTATCGTGCCCCGCGGTCTAGACTACATCTTGTATTTTGACAACTGGTTTTGCGGCGTGGACTTACAAGTAGTCCTCAAGAAGGTTGGAATCAGTTCCGTAGGGACAGTACGCGAGGCTCGCCTAAAAGAATGCAAACTTCCATCCGACAAAGATCTGAAGAAGAAAGGGCATGGCTCTTACGTGGAAATGGCGACCACATTTGAAGGGGTGAGCCTGAGGGCTGTCAAGTGGTTTGACAACCGCCCCGTGACTTTACTGTCCACGTTTGCTTCAGCCTCACCCGAGCTGGCCGTGAAGCGCTTCGACTAGAAGACCCGAACGACTGTGAGCATACCCCGCCCTGCTATTGTCGGCATCTACAATGAATGCATGGGAGGTGTTCATCTTTTGGACAGGCTTGTGGCACTCTACCGCACCCACGTAAGGTCAAAAAAGTGGTACAGGAGGCTCTTTTTTCATTTATTGGATGTAGTAGTTGTCAACTGCTGGCTCCTCTACCGCCGAGATGCCACCGCGGCTAACGTGCGTTGCAAGCACCAAATAACCCTGCTAACATTCAAAGCAGACATTGCCTGCGCGCTGAGGCAACAGGGAAAGGTATCAACCCCTTCGAGGAAGCGACCATTGGGCCCATCAAAAGTCGAGAATGAATTGCAGGCGAAGAAGCGGCGCGGGCCATCAGCTCCTGTTCCATGCAAGGAGATAAGGCTCGACACTATCGACCATCTCCCGATGTTTTCTGCAAAAAAAGGCCGTTGTAAATACCCAAACTGCACAAGAATCACGCGAGTCATGTGCAGGAAGTGCAACGTACACCTTTGTTTCACTCCAGGGAAGGAGTGCGTGCACAAATTCCACACTAACCCGTAAGAAGCACGCAGTGAAGCCTACCTTATGGCTCGTGCCTACTGTTGCCCACAGGCAACAAAGCTGTATTTTAGAAACTATACGCAGAATGTTTTTTTCTTTTTATGAAATATGCTTAGTCTTGTTGCAACAATTGTAAATATGTAGAAAATAAATGTTTTTGCAAGTATTTTATTGTCTCGTCAATAAAGGGTTAATTAATTAATAGGATTGGTTTGTACCTATGTAAGCGACATGCCGTCAAGCTTAAAAGTCGTTCTAAGTGTGTGTATGAGGCATTTATACGCACTTATAATTGTTTTACAAGCATCCTATATTTGTTAGGCAAGTAGGCAGGTCATTATTACAACTTATGAGAAGATGTGTGTAGGGAATAGAACTTAGACGTATTGTTACTTTAGAAAAAAGGGGGGTAGCGATTTAATGTACCGGGCACTCTGCTATGGGAGAGCATAAAGCCGTACCGCCGGTCTCACATTTCATGAGGCCCTGTTTGTTTAGAAAAAGTGGTTCATGATTTAGAGTATTATAGGTACTCCATTATTCTTTATTCTTTATTCATAAATACCCTGCTTTGCCCAAAAGCGTGTCAGCGGGGGCTTACAGCTTTGAAAAAAAAACAAGTCTTCGTTATGACAGCACACTTGGTAGGTACTCATCTTAATGGGAAAAGGCTCTTGAAGTAACCTTCACAGACTGCTGTCAGGATATCGACGTGAGGAAAGACCAGAGCGAAAGCATTTTATATACCATGTTCACATTCATACGACCCGCCGTCTAAGCCCAGTCATAATACAGACTCACATTTGGGTCACTGGTTTCGTTTCGAAAACTTGAAAGTCGTGGTAAACTTCATTCAGTGCTCGGGCATCACTACTGTCTCTGACATAACCTAATGAAGAATAACAAGAATCATTCAGTTAATAATTCACACTGATTATAATCGCTGCGCAAACAGTACCTGCAAACAGCTGAAACCAGCTAGCGCCACTATATTTTGCAGATGGACGGGTGCTCCGGCAAGTGATACCACGGCAAGCGGTTCCGAGAGGTTTCCCAAGAATCTGGATTTTCCCACACCTAAATGCTATACCTAAGGTTATACTTGCACAAAAAAAAAAGGAGACCTGGCATAGTCTCTCGAATAGTCCTATACTATCACTGAACACACTTTGGAGATTATGAAGTGTCCTCAAATTTTTCGTATACTTTGGGTATATATTGACAACATAACGGGCTGAAAACTTTACTTCCAGGGCGCTATGCAGGATCGGCCGAGTTTCGCGAGGCTCCGGAGATCCGGCGACACCCCCTTATAAACGAGCCAACACTACGAAAAGTGAAATCCGCCTCTCAGCGCACTGCGTTTCATTGGTTACGATGGAAGCAGTCATCGCGTAAAGGACGGTCGACTAATTTGGGCGGTCTTTTCAAACCAAAGGCATCTTCTTTATTTTTGTTTCTCGTTCCACTGAGAGCAGATTTGCACTCATGCAATAAAAGTGTCTAAAGCGTTTTGTGGTGACGTTTTTTTAGATGTACGGGGTGTTTATATTTATTTTGAATATTTTAGTGCCTGCACAAAGTCTGTTTTAGAATAATGAGCCCCGTGGCTTCTGAGATCAGCACCGGCCGAGCGTCTTACAACATCGCGACCGCAGCTAAGCCCGAGGCCACGTGTTAATCATAATCCTCAGCCTGTGCATTCTAGCACGCTACTCGGCTGGTGCGTGCCATTTTTGTTGTCATGGCCCGCTATCACCCGACCACGTGCGGCTGGCTAATTAGCTATTAGGAGCAAAGCTCCTAAAGCCGTGGGTTTATTTCTTCTAGCTCCTGGTACGTGACCGTCTAGTTCGGTGATTCACTCAGCAGGTGCGGATGGACGGGCGGACGGACGGATAGATGTATGGACGGACGGACAGACAAACAGACAGACAGACACACAGACAGACAGACAGACAGACAGACAGACAGACAGACAGACAGACAGACAGATGGACGAATAAATGGACGGATGATTCACGTTTTACCAATAACACCCTGTTAGGCTTCGTCCCAATAATCTATATTAAATACGAAGCATTTCTTAGCAAACTTCGGCAACTTTGAGCGTATCTATCTATCTATCTATCTATCTATCTATCTATCTATCTATCTATCTATCTATCTATCTATCTATCTATCTATCTATCTATCTATCTATCTATCTATCTATCTATCTATCTATCTATCTATCTATCTATCTATCTAGCCGCATTCGACATTTAGCTCTCCTGGCCCTTTCGATAATGGTATCGCTACCAAACTTGGTATGGCCTAACATGAATTCATGAAGAACATGATTGATCAGTCATAACATAAATCATGATATGTATGTCATGCATGTCATTATTTACATTTCTTGGTCCTGCAGCTCTTGTGGTGGTTTCGTTCACATGGCATGTTGCAAAACTTGTATGGTAAGACATGGTTGCATGGTGAACACAAGCGACAGAGCCTAACATAAAAATTACGGTGTGAGTGGCATGTAACAACATGACTACATGCCATGCTGATAAAGCACTCGCGGACGTTTTGCTAGCTTAACTTATAGCAAATTTGGCATTACGGGACGTCAATGGATGACGATGGTGTGATACTGGTGCAAGCATGATAAACATGAGATGCGTGTCATTTGATGCGTGTCACATGACTACATGCTACGCTCCAGATGCGCTGGTGGCCGTTTCGCTAGCTTACTGACATGCACGGAATTCGGTATTACGTCGCGCGAACGAATTACACAGGTAAATGACACATCCAAACTTGATAATCACGACATGCGTATCATGTAACAACATGACTACATGTAACACTGATGATGTGTTCGTGGCCGTTTCGATAGCTTCGGAAATGGCAAATTTGGTATTAAGTGACGCCAATCAATGACGAAGGTATGTGACTGGTGCTAACACGATAATCATGAGATGCGTGTCATGTGACAACATGACTACATGCTACAGTCAAGGCGCCAATACATTTCGACGTGACGTGGTGCACGTGCTTGCCGGCGTTAATTTCGTCACGTCACGTCGGTGTTGCCACGCCAGGCGCCGGTCTTGCCATATACTCGCAGGCGCGCGCCGCGATGCGTTGCTTCGACGCATGTGCGTTTCAGCGCGTCCACCATTCCTCCGTCACGAAAATAGTGAGATGAAGCGTTTTCTGGGTAACGTATTGACGTGAAATGCAGCATGTCGCACTTCGCGCTGGTGGCCATCGTGCCGCGCCGACGGACGCTGGTCGCGCCTAGCGTTTTGCTAACGTACCGTCGTTGTTCCAAGCGTGCGCACGTGTCAACGCTACATTGGGGTACATTGGGCCTTTCATGATGCTCTCGCGACCGTTTTGCTAGCTCCACATATACCAACGTTGGTGCTACGTGACGTCAATGGATGATGAAATATATGACTGGTGCAAACATGATAGCCCTGGCACACGTGTCATGTAAGAACATAACATTCCGCGTTCATGCGCGCTCGCGGCCGTTTCGCTAGCCCCACATTCACTACTATTTGGTATCACGTGAAGTAAATAGATGATGAAGGTAATAGACACATCAAAACATCATAGTCATGACACGGAAGTCATGTAAGGCATCATTCACCTCCATCTCGGAACATTATGCTGATATTAAAGTGGCATATCAACATTTCTCATTCGTGCTTCGCATATCATCGATTCCTATTGTACTTGGGATCTGCCAATTTTTTCACTCCGTGGATATGCTGTGATATTTTTTTGGGCTATACGCTATACTTGCTGGGTCAGGACATGCTCTGGCCAAGCTAATTACGCCAATTCATGGTGAGGACGATGCAATTACGCTACATTGTGAAAATCATGCTAATGAAGCAATGTAACGCTAGAACTGGGCTAACTGAAGCATGCTACTTGATGACCTAACTAAACTATGCTAACACACGCGACTATAATCATGAGCAAGCGAACTAAAACCATGCTAATCAACCTTTTCTAACATGATGATAATTAGTAACTTGCTAATCAGTATTACGTTTATTAGCTCCATACTGATCATGGCCTTTCTAGTTGCACCTGAGATAATTGCCTTTCCAATCAAGCCTTATTGATCAGGACAAGACAGCTCAGTGTAATGGTCGTTAAACCTCAGCCAATTAGTACAACTACTTAAAACAGAGCTGATGGGGTCTTCACTTCGAAGCCGACCACGTATGTGAGTAGATGACCCCCTTAAGAAACTACAAGTAGCTAGGTTATCACAAGCTCCTCTATGACTCCAGCCTTGCACAAGTTGAGGGTGCTAACGAAATTTTTTTATATAAAGTCGGATGCACTCTTCCTCACGCCCGCCGGAAAACGGCGGCTCCACAACAGGCCTGAAGTGGACACTTGTATGTTAACGGCGCAGAGATCCCCGC